TACATATTCGGCCGAGGTGTCAAGCAGGAACCGCGGGATCTGGCGGTGGTACGGCGCAGAGCGTTCGAATGGATGAAATGAATTGCCTTTCGGTTTCATGACAGGATCAAATGTTACATATTTGGTGGGAAAACACGAAGATAAATGATGTAATAATAAAGTTTAACGACGCCACCTCCTTCGCGGCTGACTTTGTTGCGGGGGGCACCATCTGTTACAATCCCGCTGACGGATTACGCGGTACTTGTGCGTAATAAACTAAACTAAACAAACAGTACGGAACAGAACAGTTCCTCTGTTTGATCTTCGAGGGTCTTGAGGTCCAGTCTCAAAAGATCAGTGACTGAGCGGTGTCTTCGGTTCTCATCGAGACGAGCGTTTTTCAAAGCCTTTCTCGGGCCAAATGCGTTCTGCTATTTTCATGACGGTTTTTCCCACAAATACCTTCCCCGTAAAAGGCTCGTCATGTTTAACCATTAGCATGAGTACTTAATAGCTAGCTTTGCCGAAGCTTAGCTAGCTTTGTCGAACACATTTTGACGCATACAACCTAATTAGAACGGACCAGTACGATCATAGCATAATTATAATTTTTCCCTTTGTTTTCATGTAAGAAAGTACAAGCATATACGATACATACTTAATTATACCTGATTATATATATTTTTATATATTTTTCTTTTGATTATAATGAAATATAATTTCACCAAATTTTTTCCTGAACATGAAGTGTACTTTTTTTATTTACGAAATCCATCAAGTGGACCGGATTGAAACCCCAAGTGGGCCGGTTTTAGCCCACGAGCCATATGTTTGACACCACTGCCTTAAGATGTTTTACTTTTTTTTCAGTGAAAAAAAAATGTAACCTTTGTGAAAGCAGCTTTCTTTTTCTTTTTTTCTTTTTTTTTCGGGCTGCGATTGGCCCGCGGGCCACATGTTGGACATGCCTGTCTATTTAATTGCAATAGGAAGGAGGCGCTACCTGTCAATTGTCTTTAAAAAAAAAAAACACAGTGGGAAAATAAATAAAGCTACAAAATGAAATAGCTGTAACAAGATTTGGAAGTTTGCAGTATGGTATGAAATTTGAGTATACATAAAAACTGTATTGTTAAGTAGTTTATATTCAGAAATATCCCATATATTTTTATCCAGCGTGTGCGCACACTGGTGATGGACTCCAGCGCTGCGTGTGGAGAGAGAGCGACGATGCGACATCACATGAATAAATCAATCATCATAAATCAATGAAGTGCTTGTGCCGTGCCATCCAATCAACACAACCACTCCCACTTAATGCTGCCTTGATTTGTAGCCTAACGCGCGATGATTGACGCCCCTGCTGCAGCAGGGCCTAAACGATCAAACGCTCCGACGCTGCCGCAGTCGGCGCGGCTCAATACGAATTTGAAAAAAAAAAAATATTCGGGGAATTAAAGATTGAAAGTGTAAAAGTGAAATGTCTAATCAATGAAACTTTTTTAATGTCTGATTTTATATATATATACATATACAGTGTATGTGTATATATGTATGTATAAATATACTGTGTTACCTCTATAACGCTGTCCTTTTTTTGCCCCCTTCAGTTCATCGCAGATTTTTTTTTTAATCAGATCTCGCCAAATTTTTTTGCTAAATAGCGAAACATAAACTAAAAGACATAACAAAATAATAATAAACGTACGAAAGTTTTGGCTTTAAAAAACGTGGCTTCTCGTTTTGAAATTGCGATCGACCAGGGTCTGGAACGGAAAGAAAAAAACAAGCTGTAAAGTTGCGTGTCTTTCAAACCTCTTCAGCTATAAACACTGACCTTGTCGAGGCCCAGTAAGTCGTTGGCACGGAGAACAAATTGTGTTTCTGAAGAGTTCGATTCTGTTTATTTGACCATAAATAGAGTGGGGGAAAAGGTTAGCTCGTAACTCTGCTCGCAATACATTCCTTCCACACAACAGTAGAGGTAGATAGAACAGCTCAACTGAAACAAACAGTTTTTGTGAATTTGAGTACAGACCATTCGATGCAAATACTAAAAGTGATTTTCCTTTTCGTCATCTGTTCGTCGCTGACTCTTATTTCTTAGGCAGGAGAGACACTTGCTGACCAATAGCATACGGTCCCGAACCTTAATCGAATTACAATAAATTAAGGCATTATTAGCAGACGCTTTTATCCAACGACTCACAACAGTCGAGCATGTAGTTCCTCAAAGAATCAAACCCTACACTCTGCCTTTGCTGCCAAGGCAGGCTAGCTTACCGTTACACTACGGAACCGACCATGTACCATGTGCTGAAATCACTTGTAGGGTCCCGAGACGTTGATTTCAGTTTTGGGGGCAAACGGCTGCATATATCAGTATCGGTTGATATCGGAATCGAAAATTAAGTGTTGGGATAAATATCGGGGAAAAAAATCGTAATACTGGACATTTCTAGTATCGAATCGAATGCTGAACTGTTCCATGCATTCCAATGTACCTTTAGACAGATATACTTGATCCCAGGCTAGGAAATTACGGCAAGTCTAAGAGCGTGATGTAAAACATGGACGTCACCGAAAGTGATCTGAGACAAGCCTGGTAAGACGCTTGGTTAAATCAATCGGAGGATTTGCACAACAGTAACGACAGTAACATTTTTATATCAACCCTCCCAGGCGCGAGACATCCTGCCCTTCGAAAACCTGAGAAATAAAATCAATCTCCTTATACGTACAAGACTGAATAGATAAAAAAAAAAAAAAAAAAAAAAGAGTCATTGTTAAGAATGAATCACTCCTCTTCACCCTTCAACGTATCCCTACCGGTCCTCATTATAACGGATCCTGTCAGTAGCTGCTCCTGGAAGACAATCCTTGTTGCCTACGACCCCGCGAGCCCACCGTCTGGTTGGCTATATGTACGTCAGTACTTTTTTTAAAATAAATCCACGTGGAAGTAATTTGCCCAGAACAAAGTGTCTGTAGGGGGGGGGAAATATTAATGGAGCGTTCGTCAAAAGTCGTGCTTTTAGCATTTTCTACGCCATCTATTGGCCAAACGTGGGTATTGCAGCGATAAGGCGGGAAGTATAATGATAATATTAATAAATTATAGAATTTGGAAAAGTTTGTGAAAAAAGCTGAACGGGCCACATCCGGCCCGCGGGCCTTAGTTTGCACATGCCTGGGTTAACCTGATGTAGTCCAGTCCTGTTTAGATGATGTAAATCCTATCACTCTTACAGTACAGTCTTGCGTCAGAATCATCAAAACGTAACATCAACATATTTCAAAGTTTCAGAGTAGGCATGCGGTAAGAGCAGGAGTGGACGACGACAGCAAATCATTTTTTCTTTTTCAGTGCCGGGGCCGTTTTCTTCTCCATAATTGCTCATGTTTGTTTTAATCAGCACTGTTGCGATTGACAGACCCTGAACCTGTTCCATCAATGCAGGGTGTTGATCCCATCATGCTGTTCCACTCTCACACACCATTTTCCATCTAATTAACTTGTGCTGTAATTAATTATCGAGACAAAGAGGGAAAAAAAAATGGCTGATGCAGGGTTTTTTTTTTTCTTCCCCACCCCCTACCCCCGGTCTCCCTCTTGCTCTTCTCTATGAGTGACAATCAGATTACAACTGTTATATGTGAGAAGAATAAAGGATGGGTTTTTCCGGCTCATTTAACGATGGCCGTGATTACAAAGCTCCAACCTCGGACCCCTTTTTATTTGGGACGTCCCGTGCGTTTTGATGCGTTGTCGTAAATCCAAAGTGGTAATAAAAGCCCTGTATCCCCATTCTGTCTTTGTCAGTCATATCCATCCATCCATCCACCCACCCATCCATCCATCCATGCATCCATCCATCCATCCACCTATCCATCCATCTATCGATCTATCTATCTATCCATCTATCTATCCATCCATCCACCCACCCACCCATGCATCCATCATCCATCCATCCATCTCCCTATCTCTCCATCTATCCATCTATCTATCCATCCATCCATCCACCTATCCATCCATCTATCTATCTATCTAACTAGCCATCCATCCCCCCATCCAGCATCCATCCAGCCATCCATCTATCCATCCATCTATCGATCTATCTATCTATCCATCTATCCATCCATCCATGCATCCATCCATCCATCCACCTATCCATCCATCTATCGATCTATCTATCTATCCATCCATCTATCTATCTACCTATCTATCTATCCATCTATCCATCCATCCATGCATCCATCATCCATCCATCTATCTATCTACCTATCTATCTATCCATCTATCTATCTATCTAGCCATCCATCCATCCATCTATCTATTACGGGTACAGTTAAATGTTTTATGATAGGATTATAGTCAATGTAACATCTCTGGTAATATAACAGTGGTCCAGTGATATAGTAGTGTATTGTATGGTTAACTCTTCAGATTAAGTATTTATGGCCATATAAGGATGTAAGAATAGCTGACTGCAGGGAGTTAAACTTTCATTTACAGGCTTCACCGGACATCGGCCGATGATTCTGTTTCAATTTACGACCATACTTTTTCCGCTCGCTTGCAACATTTGCTACGTCAGTCCTATTATTGAAATGAGCAAACCTCAGCTGCCGTGTATTAATGGAGTTCGGAGTGGAGTACTATTTATTATCAGGTTTCAGCGCGTTACTGCCGTGAAATCCATACCTCGGTTGCTGGAGACGTAGATCGTCGATTGATCGAGCCTTAAATATTCTGTATGTATTGCCAACAAATATACTTGAATTAAACAAAAAAAAAAAAAAAAAATTCAGATGTCAGATGTGTGTTGAGTTGAGTCACGGTACGGTTTCTTATTCTCCTTAAATACAATAAATAATAAAGAGTGTCAAGGAATAAACATTAGCCTTATTTTAAGGTTTTTTGAACTTTATTTTTGGATTCTTCCGATTAAACTTGCAGGGGTTTTTTTTTATTTTATTTTATTTTATTTTATTTTTTTTACTAGTCATAAGTTTTCATTTCATTTCCATTTAGCTGTTCAGGTCTGTCTGTTTCCGTTCCCTGTTGTCTGCTGTGTGGGGTAAGCTGTCTGTTCACACTCACCTGTTGTGGTAATTGGCCTCACTTGTGCCACCTGCTGCTCCCTGTGTATATATACCCCTGTCCCTCACGCAGGCCTGGTTGGCTCATTGTGACGGTGTCGTGTCATTGTGTAGCGTCGCTGTTCTGTAGCAGTTCGTGAGTTTCCTGTTCCTGTGTTTCGTCGTGTTCCCTCGTGTTCCGTGTTACAAAGAGAGTTCCATACCAGGTAGTTCTTCCTGTTTTGTTAATTTAGACATTGTTAATAAAACTTTTCCCTGCCCCAGTACCGCATTTGGGCCCTACCTGCTTCCTGCAATGTCGTTGCCCACACGTGGCAGCTACTGCTAACGGTGAGCTAAACCGCTAACGAAATGTTTAGCACATGTCGTTGCCGTTATATTCTACTGAAATGAATGAAACAAAACAAAGTGTTTTCTTTCAATGGCCTACTTTTTTTTTTATTGTGACTATTGAGTCCTTCTGGTAAATTATAACTTTAGCAAATACGCTGTTCTAAGTTAATTAAAGGCCGAGTGTATTGTGTCGTCTGTCGTCGATGGGAAATACAATAAAGAATTCCGAGTTAAGACCAAGAAATGATTTTGTGGAGAAAAAAAAATAACTTGAATCATTTTATATTGATTAGCTTGAAGCTAATTTGCTTTTATTTGAAGTTGGACTTCAGGTCAGGGAAAAAACAATGTGCCTGCGTCACTGCGTGTAAAGGCCTGTGTGATATAGCATCACTGTATGGCTTGTATCAACGTAGGCGGGATTTGTGGCCTACTAAGGTCAGGAATATATTTTGCGGAATGGCTGAAATGGCCTGGTCCCCTGGATATCAACCGTAAAGCAAAAACGGAGACTCGGAGATTTGCACACGGACCGTGAGTGACAGTAATTGGAGGAATGAGGAGCTATTGTTGTTTCTCATCTGTGCTGTGGCGATATGAGAAACAATGCATGAGGATAATAGGATCCGGGGATTTGGTGCTTGGTGTACGTACTGCATGTTCCAAAAAAGAAAGGGCAGTGCTGAGAGTACAGAGCTTTGAGGTGAACGGAGATAAAGGATAACTACATCCATCCCTTTAGGTGTAATGCTTTAGAGAAACAAGATGAATATATATATATATATATTTATTTATATATTTATTTATATATTTATTTATATATATATTTATATATATTTATTTATATATATATTTATAT